CACCACCCAGTTAATCCCATCAGGGGTCCATTCACTGGTTGGGTTAAGGCTCTCACCACCCAGTCATGTCTCCTCTGGACCTTCCTGCACCTTCTCACACGTGAGCTTTTGGGGACACCTCACATCCACACCACAACAGAAGTGGAACAGCATATTTCAGATGCTAACAGAAAGGAGAGTCTTCTGCACCTAGTGGGAATATCCTACATTCTACAGAATGAAGGGAATCATGATACCTTCAGATTGAGACCTGTCACTGTGGGCTTCTGTCCATGAGTGGCTAAAGAATATTTCTAAAGTAAAAGAGAATTCTAAAAGAAAAAAATAATCTTGGAACATGGAATAGAAGAACTAACAATGGAAAAAGCAAAAATATAGGTAAATTAGATACATTTTTCTTCACCTCTTGATTTTTCTTAATTAAATTTGAAGTTTACAGCAAAAATAACACTCCTTAATATTTTTTCTAAATGCATGTAGAAAAAAACATTTTAGACATTTTATTATTGTGGTATTGGGAGTGGACCCAGGACCTTTTGCATGGTAGGCAAGCTCTACCACAGAGCTACCAGCTAATGGTGTAATTCCCAAGCCCAATTTTATTATAAATGAGGGAAGAAAAAGAAATACAGTGGAATAAAGATTTGTATACTTTAATCAAACCAGGGTTATGTAATGCCAGTAGATTGTGATAAGATATACACACATACACTTAAATATATATACAAGTATATGTAAAACTAAGTGTGTACATATAGTGTAATATAGTATATCTTATTACTTAGATTGTGGTAAGATATGTTAATATTTATATGTTATCTAATGTATAAAAGCAACCATTTAAAGAGTTATAAAAAGAAATATAGCTGGGCACAGTGGTGCATGCCTATAATCCCAGAGGCTTGGGAGGCTGAGGCAAGAGGATCCAAGTTCAAGGCCAGCCTCAGCAACTTAGTGAGGCCCTAATCAACTCATTATGACACTGTCTCTAAAATATAAAAAAGGGCTGCAGATGTGGCTCAGGGGTTGAGCACCCCTGGGTTTAATCCCTGGAATGAAAAACAACAACAACAAAAAAGAAAGAAAGAAAGAAAGTGTATTTAGAATATTATAAATAAATAAAAGTGGAACTCCAAAGTCAATTAAACCATTGGAAGCCTGAAAAAATAAAACAAAGTGGAAGACTTAAGGCATAACATCATGAATATTTATATTAATTAAACTAGATACATCAGTTAAAAGAATCACAAAGTGGATTTAAAAACACAATCCAATTATAGGCTGCCTATAAACATTTATTCTGTGTATTAACAGTTTGTGTTGAAAGAAAAGGTACAGAAAAATGGGTCTTACAGAGTTGCCATATTAATATCAGATAAAGTAGGAAATTTTCCAAAGTTTTAGGAAGGAAATAATACATTTCTAAAGAGCCCGTGAGTCAAAAAGGAAATCTCAAAAGAGAAATTTTTTTTTTTTTTAACAATTTGAACTAAATGAAAATATAGCATATCAAAATAGGAGAGACAGGACTAAGCCAATGATGAGAGGTAAATTTATAGCAGTAAGCACATCTATTAGAAATGAGGAGCAAAATCAGTAATCTATATATACTCTTAGGAACCTAGAGAAAGAAAAGTAAATCAAAATAAGCAAAAGAAACACAATAACATAGAGAGAAACCAATGCAATTGAAAACAGAAAACTAAGGGGAAATTAAGGAATCAAACAACCAATTCTTCAAAATATTTACAAGAGCAGAATTTCTAGCAAAAATTCCAAACAAGGACTAGGGCGGTCGCTCAGGGGTAGAGCACTGGCCTAGCATGTGTGAGGCACTGGGTTTGATTCTCAGAACTGCATATATGAGTAAAATAAAGGTCCATCAATAACTAAAAATATCTATTTAAACATGGTATTTTTTTAATCTAAAAAAAAAGAATTCCAAATAATGAGATACAAAAATCCTTAATGTTAGAAAGGAAAGAGGGGACCACTCAGACCCTGAAGATATCCAATAAATAAGAGGGTTCCACCAACAAACCTGCCCACATACATTGAACAACTTAGATGAGATGGAGCCGTTCCTCAAGAAGGGCACACCACTGCAGCCCATTTAATGTGAAACAGGTCATTCCAATAGACCTCCAACTCGGAAGAAAAATGAATCTGCAGTTTTGAAACTCCTGAAAAAGAAATCTTAGGCCCAGATTGTTTCCTTGGAGAATTCCACTAATCCTATAAAGAAAAATGAACCACATTTCTACACAGTCTCTCCCAGAAAAGAGAAGGGGAAGAAGCCTTCCTAATTATTTTTGTGAAACTGCTATTTCTCTGACTCTAAAGCTCAACAAAGAAGTAGGAAAAAAAAAAAAAAGATATATGTACAAAAAGTCCTTAACAAGTATCAGCCAACAATATTGAGTAAGATACATTGTACCTGCCCAGCGCAGTGATGCATGCCTGTAATCCCAGCACCCCGGGAGGCTGAGGCAGGAGGATCATGAGTTCAAAGCCAGCCTCAGCAATGGTGAGGCGCTAAGCAACTCTGTGAGACCCTGTCTCTAAATAAAATACAAAATAGGGCTGGGGATGGGGCTCAGTGGTTGAGTGCCCCCTGAGTTCAATCCGCGGTACCTTCCATCCCTGCCCCTAACCAGAAAAAAAGACACTCTGTTCCTATAACCAAGAGAAGTTATTATAATATGTAATAATATGTAATAATACACTTTGTCTGGGTGGCCCAGGGTCTGTTTACAATGGATAATTAGGGGTTGCCTTCCGTGTATGGAGAACCTGATTTAGGATGCTGTCACGACTTATGTGTATGCATGGGTTTGAGCCCCTTGTGTGAGTTGGGGTCTTTTCCCACAGTCGTGGGGACGCTCAGGAGTGAAGTAGCGGACTTCTCTGTGAATTCCAGCATCCTAGATTTAAGTCAGAGACCCATTTAAAATAAGTTTGCTATTGAAAAGGATCTTTGTTTTGGTTGAAGAGCAAATAGTCAAGCGTGGGTACTTCTTCAGTGGGTGGACTTTTTTTTCTTAACCCCATTTTAAAATGAATTTCTTTGCTTTCATTTGTGAATTGCAGCCATAACACAAAAACAACGTCTTGGTTAGACCCTCGGTGCCTGAACAAACAGCAGAAGCCTCTAGAAGAGTGTGAAGATGATGGTAAGTGCTCAGAAGATTTGGGTCAGGTGAACTGGGGGCCTGTTCACAAGAGCAGACTTGAAAGAGTGATCCAAAGGTCCAGTGTGGTTGGTTTGTTTTTGGTACCAGGGATTGAACCCAGGAGTGCTCAACCACTGAGCCACATCCCCAGTCGCCTTTGTATTATATTTACAGACAGGGTCTCACTGAGTTGCTTAGGATCTCACTAAGTTGCTGAGGCTGGCTTTGAACTTGCAATCCTCCTGCCTCAGCCTCCAAGCCACTGGGATTACAGCCACCACTCCCAGCTTCAATCTGTTTTTAATATCGAGCTTTGAAAAGGTAATTCAGTTTTAAAGTTGAGGACAGTAGCCCACGCTTCTAACCCTAGCTACTCAGGAGACAAGAGGCAGGAGAGTCACAAGTTCCAAACCAGTCTGGGCAACTTAGTAAGCCCCTGTTACAAAATAACACCTTTAAAAAGTGCCGATAGCTCAGTGGTATAACTCTTGCTTAACATGCGTAAGGCCCTGGGTTAATAAGTTAATGCAATTTCTGGGAAATATACTCAGTTTACCAAAACAGGAGGAAATTGAGTAGGTTTTTTTTTTTTTTTTAAAACAACAATCCTTTATATACAAAGAGGAGGTGTACTGTCTTATCTCCATTGGAAACAGAACCTCAGTTCAGCCAGAAACAAAGGTACCCAATGAGGTATCTGCACTGGATACCTCCTATGCTAGCACATACTTCTTCTGCCTTCAGGGGCCTGGTAAAGACCTCAGAAATGCTCTGAGCATATAGACACCTGCAGTGCTCTGATCAGTGACCCCTATTGCACCATCACCGTATGTTACAAAAATCTTAGGGGAAAAAAATCAGGAGTTCTGTGGGTGCTCCTTGCTTGATGATTCTGTTATTTCCCCAATTTAGCGGGGGGAGGGGAGCAGATTTTGACATGCTTCCGCATTTCCACGTGACTTCCCCATACTGTCTGCAAAGCGTGTCCTCTGAGAAAGAGGCTGAGATGTTACTTAGAGCCTCCAATCTCACTGCTCATCTTAGGATCAAAG